GTCCACCTTCCAGGAACTCATGCAGTTCCTCACGTTGGTGGAGGAGGCTGAGGAGGTCGAGAGTCAGGAGGAAATCGATAGGCTGTACTCGTGCTTGGACAAAGATAACAGTTCATCTTCCGGCTCATGTGCTCCATCAGAGAAAGGGAAGCAATCCAAGGAAACCAAGGGTGATGACAAGAAGGAGATGTTTGTTATGTTTGTCTATTATGTGCATACATTGCTTGTAGATCTCTACTTTGGTGAACTGTATGAACCTGGTTGCTTTGATTGTTGTAAATCGTAAACATGTAGGACGGCAAACGTGAAAAAAATAAGAACAAGAAGAAGAAAAATAAGACAAAGAAGAAGGCCGCAAAAGAGAAGAAGGAAAAGAACGATGCCAACAAGAAAGGAGAAGAACCAAAAGATGATCCCAAAGCACTTCAGAAAAAGGCAAAGAAGGCTAGTTGAAATTGGTACCAAACCTTGTGTAATTGATGTATACCATATTTCCAGAATTGTTGAGGCTATCAATGACGCTAGCACAAAGATCAAAGCGGCAGTTGATTTGAAGCCAAACCTGAAGAACCTGTTGGGAACCAAGAATACATTTCCTGAATGTGGCATCCACGCTGGTTGTAGTGACTAACCGGCTAAGGAGTGAGAAGTATGCCACATCTGTGGAGTCTGATTTGGATGCATCTATGAAAGGGCTGGAGGCCATAGAATTTTGGTTTGTATCCGCTGAACGCATTTAAGCCACTGCCACTGCTAGATCTTAAGTTTGCAGTAAGTGAATATATAATATAATGGTGATAAAAAATAAACAAAACACACAACATCATTGGCAGGAGGCTAGGGCACAGCTGCAAAACTCTCTCGACATGTCGCAGGCGCAAAGTTTCACATTGGGTGAACTGTATTGCTTTCCATGTATTTGTTGAGACAACTGCAAACCAACGATGCTGTAAGTTGTTGAGTTCAATTGGATCAGGTGACAGAAGCATTGGTGAGTGCCTGTGATGCTGCTCGAAAACTCGTTGACACCGCATGTGATCCCCTCAAGTCGGCCAAAAAGGCCAAAAAAACCAAAGAGGGCTGATCGACACCGGCCCCGATTTTGTTGAAGCTGCAGCAAATTGATTGTCATCCACTGAACTCATTGGTTTGGTCATTTGTCGTTGTACATTTTTTGTGTCTTATACAGCGGCCATCGGTGTGCCGGTGTGCTTACCTTGCAAGGGTATCAATGACTAGCCAGCTGCTAGTGCATTGGGGGGTGGCAAGGCTTCACATCGCGTGCTTTTGCTATGAACTGGCGACCAATTTTGATTCTAGTGTGACTCATGTGTAAATCTAAGTCTAATGAAGTCAAGGTTGTCGGAGCATAGCTGTCAATGGCCAATCTGAAGGTTCATCATCCGATTCGACGTTAGGCAACGAGCCCTTCGTGAAAAAGGTTGATCTATCTTTTGCCTATAGTGGTGGTTGTATGTTTAAGCAAAAGTTTGACTTTCTCTCGGGAGTCCTTGACGCAGGTTCAGACGATCTCGAGAACAAGAACGAAGCGTCTGAGATTGGTCCTTTGCAGAGAGATCTAGTTGAGAAATTAGCTGGAAGCGTTTCTTGGGAGCAATCGGAAAAAATGATTTCATACAAGTAGTAATATTGTGTTATCATGGAGAAAAAGACCTTGTTTGTCATACCGTTCTCTGAGGCTACTTCGGCTGAGGGGGCCATGAGTTCAATTAGAGCAGCTGCTGAGGAGATCCAAATTACTTGTTTTCACTATGCTGCTTGGTGAATCAAGTATCTTCTGCAGGAATCAAAGGGACAAATGAGTACTTGGACTGCCAAGCTGGCATCGTATTCGCGAGGCAAGAATTCGGCCAGAGACTTCTTCAGACAAACTGCTGTTCCTTTAGACTCTAGATTACATTAGTTGTGACATCTACTTCAAACCATTCGTGCCTCATCGAGTGATTGATTGTTTTTACACTTTGGTGGACCCCCAACGGGCGTCTGAGGAACCACAAATGTTGGATGTGATATTCAAAGATGGTGATCGCACCTACATGTCGCCGGTTCCTTACCTTCTTCCGGAAGATGTATTACGATATCTTATCGAGGACTGTTGTCTCACGATTGATGAAGGTCTTTGCAAGAACTTCTGGGAACATTTGGAGGCTGTAGGGGAAGAGGTTGCGGTAAGATCGAGAGAATTCAGAACATTGGATTCAAAACAGATGTGGCCCATCGGCATTCACGGAGATGAAGCATGTATGGGCCTGAACAATGCCCCATACGACAAGATCATGGGAGTTTTTCTATCATTACCATTGTTTCGACCTCGAAGCACAAGGATCTCCAGGTTTCTCCTCTTTGCATTGGAAACCGCAAAGGTGGCTGATGTGCAAAGCACGGTGAACCCGATTTTGGAGCACATCGTTGCTTCCATCAACCGTTGCACAGAATCTGGAATTGCAAACCGTCGAGTGATCCTCACTGAACTGAGGGGAGATCAATTGTGGTTTCGCTTTCTATTCAGCCATGCATCATGGTGGAAAACGGTGAATATTTGTTTTAGATGCAATGCTTCAACACGGCCCGGCCATCTCAACTATGCGAACTATGACGGGTGGTATGCAAGTAGGAAAACCACGGAGCAGTTCATGTTGGAGGAGTTGCCCATGGAAACGAGTTACTTGTTGTTCGAAACAAAGCTTTGTGTTGATGTTTTGTCTAGGGTCGTGAAGAACTTGACTGGACGGGATGGACGGAGGGGGTTGTGGAGTGAACACATCAATGATTAATATGTTCCGGGAATTCCCATGCTTTAAGCCAAGGTCCATTGGTCAACCTTCATTTCTTCACTATAGGCACTATAAAGCATTGCAGCCTACACGTATTGAACTTGGGACTATTGCATATCAGCAATGGCAGTACAATGAATCCTGTTCGCAATACTTGTATTTTGTTTGTTGCAAATACTCTGTGCAAAACAACCAAGATACGCATGTTTCTGATACTTGGATGATGGTTTGCACCGATCTAAGGGCAATGCTTCTTCACATGAATTTCTTTGGACCCGTTGCTGTGCATGGTGACCCTACAGCTTACAAGCAACCTTGTGAGGAAGCGTACCGGGACTTCTTGGCATGGAAACGTACACACAAAGTTTCGTCCTCACAGAGAAAGTTTACATTTTGGTCAGTGTTCAAAGAAGAGTATGGTTGCTACATGAACTCAAAAGGCCATAATTCCCGAGTCCTATCAGCTTGGCTAGAAGACGTTTTGGACCGAGCGACATCGATGCCACCGCCGGGCTTGCTACATGACAACCGGCTGTACACATGTGTGGTCACACTGATACCTAGTAGTCGATTAATGGAAGCATTTTGATTTTCTGTGGCAGGGTAGGAGGTAGTAGGGGTTCACCCAGGTCCAAGGTTCACGCTGCGCTCCCGTTTTCAAAGGAAAGCCGTCAACCGATACTTCCAACTGACGGAGCTGGCCTCGCGGGCGTTGTAGCTCGTCTCATTGATCATCTTGTGGCTCCCGGCATCTCTCGGCATTGTGTACTGTACTGGGATCCATGATATCGGTGTCTAGGTTGGCTAAATCAAAAATTGTTGGATTGTAAATGCCAAATCAAATCTTACACTAGATATTTGAGAATCTGCCTAGTGAGTCTACTAAAAAAGAGTTTACTTCATACTTCAGACTCTGTTCACATGTTTGCTGACCGAACCCAGGAGTGTCACACAGGCTTTCCACATAGAACAAGCTGGGAAGACCTATTTGGAGGGATATCGCCGGCTCAATGAGATGAGTAACAGGATTGTTTGGTGCAGTAAAGTGGCAAGCAAACCAAACAACTTGAAAACAAAAACATGAAACACTGGACTGTCCAGTGTTACGCAGGAGAGCTGAACTCGCCTGGCTGCTCATACCTAAATACCATGTTTCCTGGCCTGGCGTCTATGACCTATGTTTGTGCAATTTATTGTACTTGTTGTGCCACCTGCTACCTTGAGGCTTTTTCAGAGATTCTTTTGGACACAGTCAAAACAAAAAGTTCTACGGCTGCAATGGATGTCTTGCAAAGTTGCAAGTGGTATTGGAACGTTTTGGAACAAGTGTCACACATTGAGGATGCAATCCGCGGTTCCAGCACACGTTCGTTGACGAGGACCAAATGATGGTCCTTAAAGGTTGTGCGCCTAGAATCCTACTGTTGGTGTTCGTGTTTTGCGGATGTCAGCTGTCCAGCCCTTGGATCATTGAGGTTGGGCAAAACGTTCTGATCCCAAATCGAAACTGACCACCAAAGGTGGTAGGCTTCATGGAATCCTGCGCTTGGCAAGGATGCGATACTTAACTTTGAAATGGAAGTTGAAAGACGCAGTGCTCAAAAGAGACCTGTGCACTCGAATCCAGCGATGAAAACAAAACACACATTTGTCATTCTCGTGCATCTTGGGGTGGTGGTGGGGTCGAGTGAGGACTTTTTGGTGGACTCCCAGAACCACAAAAAAACTAGGAGCTAGAAAAGCCAGACGAACCACCTTGTCCATAGTAAACTTCGACATTGCGTTATGTACCAGGTTACTAGAGACGTTGGAAGGTTAGGGTATATATATATAGTCTACTATACTATAGCTGGATCTTCCAACTATACAACATGTTGCCTCTTCGTCCATAAAACAAGCCCAAAGGCAGAGATTTTGCATCGTTGGAAGATCTAGGTACGTGCCTGTTGGAAGAACTCCTACACCACGCACAACACGGTATTTACCGGTCGCGAAGCTGTGGGTTCATGTCCCAGCAATTTGCATCGGATTTGCATCGGCCTCTCCCGGAGGGGGGTCTCCAACCCTGGGAGTTCTAAGCAAAGTACAGCTCAGTTCGATAGCGTCGGATGTTCCAAGCAACAGAATCAGATGTCTAAGGCGCTCTCGTTCTTCCTCCTTGTTCGCTTTCACGCATCATGCGTGAGTGCTGAGTGCTGCGGTGAGGCCTATGGGCACTCTGCCAGGGCGCAGAAATGGCTCGATCAGCTGTGCCAAGTGGTGCCTCAGCTTAAAGCAAGACAGGAAGACAAATCTTCTTCGACACATTGTGTTTTTTGTTGTTTTTGTTCAGAACATGGAGGGGAATTGGCATTGCTGCATTTTGCAGAACACAATCATCACTATACACCCCAATGTTTCTGTTACAGAGGGTCTTCTTTGTGTTGTACCAGCTGGCCTGGCTATTTTGAGCGCTGCCAAGGAGTCTCGCATGCTAAGCAATTGGGAGGAGATTTTCAGCTGGTGGTCGTGCTGTGATATTCAATCCCATACACTCCACGGGACTGCCATATATGCCGCCCCATTGACCCCCAAACCACCCCAATGTAGGCATATATGGCATACATGGAGTGTATGGGAATGATATTCATATAACTTTAGGTTTGTCCATGCTTGTCCTTTTTACCTGTAACAGCCCTCGGTAAACAATTAGCAGTGTAATTAGAGATGCCGGCCTTCAACTGAACCATCATCATCCACTGTGACTGGCAAGTGGATGGACCCCGCATAAACATACATTATATTCAACCCTACAAGTCAAAGACCTCATTTTACTGGAGATGGTCATACAAAATCAATACTTACTGAGGTCAAAGACCAGGTTTTACTGGGTCAGACTGGACTTGTATAGGGCAAAACCGTGTTCATGGTGGGGGGCCCTGCTCTTGACTCTTGACCTTCTTCACGCACCTTTAGGGCCCCAAAACACACCTCCCTTGGGACCGAACTCACCCGAACCAGCCCGCCCCGGCTTCTCGGCCGTCAACGCAGGAGTTCTCGGTGCATCGCAGCGATGTGCAACACAGCTTGCGCGAACTCACCGAAGCCGTCCGCCGGAAGCAGGCCGAACGCGGGCCGCCGGTCGAACCCCGCGGCACCACCGTTTCGGTGCCGCTTTGGGGTTGTTGCGCGGATCTTCTGCGGATGTCATGTTTTTGATTGTTTTTGGGAATGCGAGCCGGATTTGACCTCAGTCTTTCAACGGATTTGACGCGTGCTGGACATGAGCTGGGAATCTTCAAACGGTCACGAACGTCAGACCCAAGTGCCAGCTTCTTCAGTTCGTGACCGAACTTGGGAGTTTCATATAGTTTTCACAGGCCTAGATATACAAGTGACCGAAGCAACCAGTGGATCAAGTTCGGTATGTTCGGTCACGAATTGAAGAACCAGGTTCAGAAGATGCTGATGTTACAAGATTCCTGGAACTCAAGAGTGGGTCGGATTCTTCTTCTCTTTTGGACTCTTATGTTCCTTTTGGACGTGTTCTGTTTTTTAAAAACAGACACTGATTTTGACCCTCACAACTTGGGTGTTGGACCATAGAGTCGCCATAGAGGAACATGTAGACTAGCTGGAGTCTAGGTGGCTTCGTCGCTTCAGGAGCCACACCTGGAAGGCGAGGTGGAGAAATGCCATCGACGCTTGCAGGAGCTCTCTCAAAGCAACGAGGAGACGGCTGCCTGTGAAGTATGCCTATATATAATATTTATAGTATATCAATTAAATTGTCATATAGCGTTTGGCCTTTAAGTGGTGTTTTTCAGTTGGTCCGTTAACAGGTTCTGTGTTGGTCTTCAAGGCAGGTATACTTGATGGATCATAATGGTACATGATGATCTCACCACTCAACTTGAATGTCTAGTGAACTCAAAGCACGATCAGTATGATCAGTTGACACCGTTGAGCTATCGGTCGTTCCAATTTTGGAGAGACCTTTCATGTACCCATGTCATCTCAAAGTACCTCATTGTACAATGTTTTTTTTGGGGGGTCATCATATCATATCATATCCCATTTTCATCCATTTTCTAGGCTACGAAGTCTAGAGAGAAGAGGGTCCAGCGGAAGAACGCCATCCCATCTCCCCCTGTCATCCCATGTAGCCTGTCATCTTCCCATCTTGCCTCGCCCCAAAACCCACAGGAGGTGATGTGCCGCCTGGGCGATCTCAAAGCCACCGTAGAGAACGGACAGCAGTCCTTGGAAGGCCCTGAAACGAAGCGAACGCCGAACACGGACGGATGCTGGGCGCTCGAAGGGACAACGGGAGTGCTGGGTGACGGGACGCGTGTTGTTGGATGTCCCGAAGGGCGTTTTTCCCATGTCGAAAGAGAGCAACAAATCCAACAAGTTTGGGTGGTGGTTTCAGATATTGCTATGTTCTATAGCTTTACTTGGGATGATTGAACCTACTCTCTGATAAAATGAGTTGAAACCACGTAGTAGCTTTCTTTGGGATTTGCATGGCTTTCGTCCATTTGTTCAATGAATCCAAGCTACATTCAGCTACATTTACCCTATCATGGAGCCATTTCCAAGGTGGAATGATGGCATTTGGTGATCTGGGAATCCCAAAGATCCATCCCTATCCCTTTTTGCCAGATCCTGCACATCCGTCCGATGGATCGGATCCCATTGGAGCCGACAACGGTGGAGCCGAATTGGAGTCGCATTGGATCTGTAACAGGGAACCCCCCCACCAATGAGCTGTGGTCTGATTGTTTTCTTGGGGGGGTCGGAACGCCTACCAGAGGTCTCCCTATTTGAGCTACACATCCGATGTTAACAGTAGGACGGACGTCTTCTTTTTGTGCTGTTTTATCCATGCTTTTGGGGCTCCCTAAAGATATAACGGTCTATGGGGAGAATCTCGCTCTGAAAACTGAAGCGAAAGCAAGCTGGTATTCCGCCCAACCGCACACCGACACCGCCCAACCGCACGCACCACGTACGGCGGGCAGGTTTGCGGTCACGCGTCTCCGTGAAGCTGCAAGAGATTGCTGCTTCCTTTGAGGAGCAGAAGAAAGAGCTTTCGAGCGTCTCTCAAGAGCTGTGCCTGGGCGCCACGAAGAATCGGTATGGGGGGTGGTGCAAAGACCCCAAAGAGGGTGATTCATGCCTATGGCATATGGCACAATGCCCACTGAAATCCAATGAGTGCAATGAAGGCCACACCCCTTTTTGAGAAAAGATATAGGGGAGAGTCTTGGGACTTCAGAATAACTCCAGGGCAGATTGAGCATGGTGTAGCAGGTGTCAGTGACCGCGGCTCAACGACCACTGATCTGTGAATTGACGTCAAATTGGTGATTTGTTTATATTGTTGAATCTGAGAATAAATATGAGAGGATCTGTGAGTACTGGTGAGAGAGATGTGACAGTTTGACCATCGAATATGGTCAGATATGTCGAAGTTTATGACAGTTGACCGAATTCATGGACGGAGGTTCCCCAATGCTCGACTCGACCGGATCTTTCTTGCAGGTTCCGAAGGCTGAGACCAACCCCCCCCGTAGTCTGATCGAGCCGAACACATGGAGCGTGAGCAGTGTCGAAGTGTCGAAGTGGAAGGTGCCGTTTTGATGTGGTGGAAGGGAGGTGTCTACACTGCCGGTGATCCCAGAAGCGGAGACTTCTTCCTCGGGATTTGGCTTGGATGTTTGTAGTTTGTACCATCAACCAAAGGTCTTTCCCAGTCGTTCCCCAAATGTTTCTGAGCTTCAGGAGGAGGTGCCAGGAGTTTGTTACATGTCACATGTTTGTTCCCCGAAAGAATGCCAACCATATGGAGCTGGCCATTTTCATCCCTGAGATGAATCCTTCTATACAGTTCACCTGGACCGAAAAACGTCGCAGTCGGACGGCTCCTTCGCTGCATCGAGGCTGGCGGAGAGTGCCACTGCAAAGCGGCAAAGCAAAGCAGTGGCGGAGGAGTGGCGATATGTGGCGCTTAAGAGTCGGGGAAAGACTGGTGACAGCAGTGTGTGCGTGTAGAGCAAAGGCCAGCTTGGAAATGATAGCTGGACATAGATTCAGAATTGATATTCAACATATATTAAATTGAGGTGTCATGAATGGTTTATATAGAGTTTGATGATTTGATGCACAGAGCATTTTCTGAGTTTCATGCCTCTCACTTGGAACGCCAAGCTTTCACGCTTCCAAGACGCCTAATGTGGGCGTGAAAGAAAAGCATTCTCACACTAAGAGAGTAGGAACTTTTGGAGGGCGTGTCCATTTTCCACACCCAACCGTCAAGCGCACCAGCACCGGTATTTGGGAGGTGATCTCAGCACAGCACCGAACACTGGGGGTGCCTGGCTTAAAGGTCAAGGCTGTAATCATGTGAGCAATCACATGATTTGCGTCACAGTCTCACTTGTCCTAGTTTTCTTCCAATTGAGAGGATTGTCGATATCATGTCAAACACAACGAATTCGATTTGAATCTACCATAGCGGGTTCTTTCTTGTCTGAAGAATTAGCATCCAGCTTCGAGCCAAAGCCAGTCGAGCCATAGCGTTTGCAACCTTTGTCAAGGAGCTTCTCAGAAAGATGGCCGAGCTCAATCAAAAGTGCCTTGGCTGAATTCCAGTAGCAACATGTCAATGCATTTACCTGTCTCCTGCCATATCCATTGGTTTGTTTGGGATCTCCACGCAGGCTCCTTTTCATTCTTTTAGCGTGCATCAACGAAAACAGTTTCTCATGCATTGTAGACAACGACGTCTTCCAGTTTCCGTCTTCTGACGGAAGACATTCGGTTGTCCCACCGTTAGCCTTCCAATTACGTCGCTGTAGCCTTTCAATCGATCTTCCGTCCAAAAAGATCGAAACACCGCCGTGGTACTTTGGGCGTCAACTACAGGCAACTACATGTACCATGTACCCAAGTTGAGTCAAGGATGTCCATCCACTTCCTTGTCCTTACACAACCACAGGGTTCAACATGAATGTGGCTCCTGGACAAAAAAAAAACGGTTTAGCAGCAACTGAGGTCATTGATCTGTTGAATAAACAACAGTTGTTAAGATCCCCCATGTCAGTCTCAGAAAAGGGAGCTTCCCGAAATACCATATCCATGTCCATCGCGTTTGCCTGAAACAGCCACAGACGGAATAATAATCCCTAGGGCTCCTGGCCCATCTCCTCAGGTTCGGTGGGGACTGACCCCGTGGCACCCACCCCAACCATCGAACCTCACGGAGGTGGGCCAGGAGCCCTAGGGAATATTGGAACGGTCGTTGAAAAGGTGATCCCCCAAGAGTTCCAAAGGGATTGTGTTTGGATGTGTTTGGATAAAGGGCACCCCTATTCTCCAGTGAGCACCCCTTTGGAACTGCTGGACTGTTGAAGATCTTTGAAGACTGATAGATCCAGAATCCCATACTCATCATCAAAAAAAGAACATGTTCAAAGGCTTGATAGATCCATAATCCTCCCTGGGCGCCCTCCTTTTTTGTGTGTTTTCGCGTTGTTCTTGCGGGTGGTTTGTTTCTGCCACATCGGAGGCTTGGGGAGAACATGGCCTCCGTGGAAGAGGAGTCAGTCTCGCGCTTCGAGGACGGCTTCAGTCTCGCGCGTGGCTTGGAGACGACGGTCATTCGTCGGGCGTCGTTCTTCGTCCGTTTTCTGCAACTGGGGCCGGACCGAAAGCGTATAGATTCCGAAAGGAACACACGTCGTGCATGGTTCGGTGGAGGGGCATAGGGGCATCGCCCCGAAGACTTTTCCTTGTGGTGCTCCACTTCCAAGTGCAACTATAATGTAACTACCAAAGGCCCACAGATCAGTACTTTTACAAACTCGAAAAGTTCATTTTGATAGCTCATTTGGATCAACTTAGGGGCAATCTGCCCAACTGTGTGTGGTAGGAGTGGGCTTTCCTTCCAACCTCGACAAAGCCATGGATGTGTCAATATTGTGAGTGGATTGGCAATTGACTTGTTTGGTGAGTTGCCATGAGTTTTCTTCCGGATCTACCATTTGGCAGGGTCTTCGAGAAGAAGTTCAAGGCCTTGCGAACAGCTGGGCACCCAGCGAATGCCTGCACATGTTGAACAACTTGGGTGACACCTGATGAGGTGCTACACTGCATCTGACACACTTTGCATCTGACACACGCACACACAAATACACAGAATTTTCTGTGACTTGAGGTGGGAGTTTGATGGAGTTTGATTCAGATTGATTCAAGAAAATATATGAAATATCTTAAGACTTATTAAACTTTCCTCACTGAGTATCTCCAGACTTCTACGAAAACTAGGCGCGGATTGATTTGGCACTCCTTGACTTCCAGTGGACTTCCAGTGGAGACGTCCAACTCTTCGAAGTCGATTTGCTACCCAACGAAAGAATTTCTTGCCCCAACCAAGTCACGGGATAATGTTCAGTGCTGCTTTTTGGGGGGGTCTGTTCGGGTGGCGATCTTGATATTTTTTTTTGAAGAGTTTGACCGGGCTGATTGGGTGTTTCCAAGTATTCTCCATCCACTTGGGCTGTTTCTTGCTAAGTGCCAGTTAGTGGGCTTGGGCTGCGGCTTGATGGAAAAGGGTCACTGGATTGCCAAGATTGCCGATCGGTGTTCGATCCTTTTTGGGAGACACCGAGATGGCCATGCAACATGAAGTGTTCCAAGAGCAGACTCTGAAGATGTCCTTCATGAGTTCCATGAAGTAAGTGTTTCCATTGAGCAGGTTTTCTTACTATTTGGCTTATTAGCGGAAGTGTACCATCAATATATTATAGGTACGGGAGCCTCAGTAGATGATACCTAGCACGACCCCTCGATCCCAAAAAGGACGAACATCATTGCCCGCCAGATGAATTGAGCAGGTCCTTCAAACCACCCTCTTTGATCGCTACGAACGGGGCTCCTGGCCTTACTACTAGGAGCGATCGGACGCTACGAACGGCTCCTGAAGAAGCCGCCTCTTTGATCGTTTCTGGTCTCTACGAACCCCGGCTGGGTCCGTCATCGACGTTAGGACAGGCCAAAAAGTTCGAGGCGCTTCGGGCGTTCGGGGCGTTCGGGGTTCGGAGCGTTTGGCCCACGGCCCACAACCTGTCACGACCTGTCCTCTACCTAGCTATGGAACATGAATTCAGATCTTGATATGGGGGATTTGATTTATCAACTGTGAGCTTCCCAAGGGCTCCATCCGTTTCAAAGGTGATTGGGGTGGGTTTGAGGTGTCACACCTTCTAAGGAGGCACGACTGGAGCCCTAGAGCCTAGGGGCCTAGGGTGTCTTGTGTTGGAGTTAGCTTGGTGCCTGCTCGGAGGCCCAACTGGAGGAGAAGTGGCGCACGCTTCGCACGGAAATGCGTCTTGGCGCATGCTTCGCACGGTGTCTTCTGCAAAAGGTTTCGATGGCACGTTTCGAAGGCACATGTCCTGAACACGGACTTCTCACGCACGACCTGTCTGGAAAAAGGAAAACGGTCACCAACCCTAAACCCTAAACCGTCACCAGTCACTGGCTTCTCGGGCGTCAGTCCGTCCCGCGGTCGTCCTAGTCTGTCCCAAAACCAGACTCCGGACCAACAAGGTGTGAGCAAAGCATGTCCCTGGTAGCATGGTAGCATGTCTCTGGATTCTTCATGATTCTTCCATATTCTTCCATATGTTTTCCCATTTGCGAAAGATGTGTTGACCAAAAAGCATGCCGACATATATTATTTGACTGTTGATCAACAAAAGCTTGGACCTAACATCATGGTAGCATGAGTACGTCAATCCCAGAAGTGGTAAACTAGGGGAAATCTACCGGTATGCCCCATAGTTTTTGGTGGTGAACACCGTGAAAATCCTGAAGGTTTCACCTTTGAATGTTCTATGAGTTTCCCTTAAAAACCATGTGTGGGATCCTGTTTTTTTTTTTTTTTCGCTATTGGTGTCCAGTAGATTCCTTCCCTGAGGCGCCCATTCCGCCTGAGGCGCTCGCAGCTGGACGAAGTGGCGGAAACCACGCGCGCCGAGCTGGCGCGCGTGAAAGGCGCTGCCGTTCCCGTTCGACTCGCGCTGCCTTCCCGTCGTTTCAGTGATGTCGGTGATGGTGAACTGGAAGACGTATCCCGACGACCTGAATGGGACTGGAACAGGTACATACAGAATATATAATCGGTAATATGTGGAACTATTCGATAGGACCCCCTGTTTGGGGTGTCTATTCATAGCCCCGGAAAGAGGTGCCAGGCTGTCCATTGACCACCACTTATGGGTTCACATGGATGGTTTGCAATAAATCAACAGATCCGCATTCACACGTTTGGACGGGACGCGAGGAGGAGAAGGAGAGATCGCCGCATTCACTGCACCCCGAAACAACGACTGCGATTCGCTGCGCTTGGAAGTGACCTGTTTGCCGACGAAACTCACCTGATATACCGATTCGCTTCATGAATCTTGGTCCGATTGGTGGGGCCAAATGGGTCGGAATCCATGTTCTGCTTGTGCCACAGAAGATCTATATGAAATATCTATAGAATGTATATCGGCAGTAAACATCTTGTGTTGCACGCCACCAGGATTCAGGATTTCTTTTCCTTCATTGCATTCTTCTTGATCCAATGGTCGACCCCTTTTCGGACAGCCCCACCTCAGGGCTTCAGGACTGCACGCACGAAAAGGTCCGGTTCGAAGCAGTGGCAGGCGGGTCCAAAACTGCGCACGGGCGAGCCCGTCCACGACCCGGTCATTTTTCGACCTCTCATAGAGACCGGGTCCTCCATTTCGCAGGGGCGGAAATGGGGTTGAGGGGAACGCTGTTGAGGGGAAATGTGAAGTACCAGTGCAAATCTGGAGAGAAGATTCATGCCATCCCACCATGACTATCCCATCCAAATGGATCTAAATGGATTCAATGAGTGAACCAACGGACGAACAAGTCCTTGAATCAGAGTTTCATCACTTCCATGATCATTATTTGGTGTTGTTGAACCAGGAAAACAGCATGGACCAGCCCTAAACAATTGGTAGAAGGGAACATTGACACATATAGACTCTGAACCGATTAGGAGCAGGTTGTCCTTTTTGGACTTACTTGCGTTCACTGGAAAAAGGGCCAACTGCTGTTGTGGCCAGCTCGCAGTCTGAACCTGAACATGTCTGAACTGAGCCAAGGTGTTGCTTTGAGGTTGCCAACCTCAATGCTTGCCTGCCTGGCTTTGCTGGGTAACCCTATCTCAGACACTCTTTGTACATGCCATCTTTGCCCATCAGTTTGGTTTTGTTTGGGGTCCAATGCGCCCGTCTTCTGAGAACCCCGACCCCGCGTGGCGAGTCGAGCGTGGCGACCGCAGGTCGCGAGAGTGCCCAACGAATCGAAGCACAGCTACAAGAGCTGCGCGCAGAGCGTTTGGAAATGGAGGCACTGGGAGTCGCCTGGTGAAGTGACCCGTATTACAGTACCATACTGTAGTCTAAGGATGTCTAATGTACCTAAGTATGGGATAGTCATGGATAGTTCTTCTACCTTTGGCTGGGATGGTGGGTTGTTACAATGCAATTCCTCACCTTCTGCCTCTTGCTGGATGCTTCTGCCTGGACTGTGAAGTTTCTTTCGACCATTTTGCCTTGACCGTGCCAGCTGGTTTGCACCAGATGTCCACCATAGTGCCACAGGCACAAGGCATGCAGAACGCTGAATGGCTGAAACAAGAGATTGCCAAGGTCAAGAAGGACAAAGACATTAGACTGGAGCGGAAAGGAAGAAGAGTGACGTAGGGCTAAAACTTTCGGGCTTAGAATGGTCTTGATTGCGCATTGTAAAAGGAATGTAGCTTGGTGTGGAACCCTTCCAAGAAAAAGTGGAGTTGACCATGAGGTGCAAGGAAGCAACCCAGTTTTCGAAAGTCAAAACAAGTGGGCAAGAAAGTGCCCGACAAGCTTAAGCAGGCCAAAGGTAAACAAATATATGTGTCCAATGATGTTTTGGTATGTCTTTCCTTTGTCATGCAAAACTGCGGCAAAACTGCGGCAGTGCAAACCCTCTCACTTTGTTTCACAAAGTACTCCTTTGAAGAATGAAGAAACGCGTTGGGGATCGGTTCTGGAACCTGCGAGGATTTGGAAGAGAAAATGGCCAGAAAGGCGTGAAAGATGTGAAGCTTCATTCGACCACGTTGCATTGACTATTCCAGCTATTTTGCCCCCAGGATGGTGAAAAGCTCGAAAGCGAGCTGAAAAAGTTGATTGAACAAGTCCAAGAGGAGACAAACCGTGTGGGTCACGGCGTTGAATGCCTAGCAAAGCATCATATATCATCGCATCATCTCAAAGTTCTGCTTCGGCTTTGAGCTGAGTGTTTGCACACGGTGAGAAAAAAGACAGGCCTTGTTGGCCATTTTTTCTCAGTGTGAATGCTTTGCCATGCTTTGCCTACATCTTCATCCAGCATCAACCACCCGCTAGCCAATTTGTGAACAATTGCTAAGCCACATCCATCCAGCAACATAAAACCGCCACATTTATCTTCCATGAACTACCATTAAAATGCATTGAACCACAGTTGGAAGAGTCTCTTAGATACACGCGATCAGCAGAACATCTTTATAGTATAAAAGTTTTTGTCGGGGATGTAGTATCTAATGTTTCGAACGTGCAGCAGCGAGCCAACTGAGCTGGTTTTCCATCAGCTTGCCACGAACAAGAGAAGACTCTGCAGAGCCATATACTGGAGCCAGTACTGAGCCAGTCAAGCAGCATCAAGGTTACTTTTTTTCCCCACCTGTCAGGTGAGGGTTGTTAGATTTTACGTCAGCCCCATCTCCTCCTCCTCGTCCTCCTCCTCGTCCTCCTCCTCCGCCTCCTCCTCCGCCTCCTCCGCCTCCTCCTCGTCCTCCGCCTTTGCCTCCTCTACTGCCACCATCTGCTCCCCGTGTTGCCCGCCGGACCTCAACCGCGACTATCCACGCCCAGTGTTCCCTGCCGGACCTCAACCGCGAGCTCCAGACCCAAGTGTTCCCCACCGGACCTCAACCGCGACCATCCGCGCCCAGTGTTCCCTGCCGGACCTCAACCGCGAGCTCCAGACCCAAGTGTTCCCTGCCGGACCTCAACCACAGCACACAACCACAACCACAATCACAAACACACAATCACAAACACAATCACAGACACACAATCACAAACACAATCACAGACACACAATCACAAACACGCAACCACAAACACAATCACAAACACAACCACAAACACAACCACAAACACAACCACAAACACCCAACCACAAACACAATCACAACACACAGCCACAAACACAACCACAGCCACAGTCACAAACACGCAATCACAAGCACACAACCACAAACACAACCACAGCCACGATCACAAACACACAATCGCAAACACACAACAACAAACAGAACCAAGCACGCAACCACAAACACAATCACAAACACACACCCACAAACACAATCACAAACACAACCACAAACACACAATCACAAACACAACCACAAACACACAATCACAAACACACAATCACAAACACACAATCACGACGACGCATCCACAGCACACAACCACAAAGACGCAACCACAGCACAGAACCACAACACACAACCACAACACGCAACCACAGCACACACAACCACCACGCACAACCGGAGGACCCAAGCAACATCGAGAACCACAAAGCTCACGACCGTGGCAACATGCTCCTCAGCATGGCTTGTAAACACATGATTGAGATGTCATGGTGGGGATCACTCGAAACAAAGTATATTTTTTTGGAGCATCATGGCCCGAAAGAATTGCACAAGTATAGGTGCACTTGCACTCCAATTGCACTCCTTTGGTTCTAAGGGTTGCTTGCCAGCCCCCACCGTGGTGGCCCAAACACTACGTACAAGCGAGAGGGGTCCTTGTAGAACGCAATAGTTCGCAGTTGAAATTGGTGCTAAGGCTAATTAATTGTTATTTATTTCTTTGTGTCTTGCAGCCCTGCTAGGTGGTCTTTTGTTCATGGGCCCTTTCTTTGTTCTTTCGAGGACTTGAAAGATGACTTCAACCATCTTCAACCAAATCAAGCACCTGCTTTTTTGCACCTGTTGTTTCTTGCAAGGACAGTCTCAACTTCCAGTTCCAGTCATTGCAACGCAAGCGAGACCGCGCCAAAGAATTAATCAAACAAAAGAAGTACGAAGAAGCAGAACACCTTCAAAAAGAAGTGTGGCAGCTGAACCTGAAGTTCAAGGAGGCAGTTATTGCGCAAGTGTGCCGAAGCAGTTCATAGGAACATATACATTTCTCGTCCACTGCATGTCGTAAGTCATAACTCTCACGATGCCCACAGATTCACCCATCATCGACATCTCCTCAAACCAGAATGTTCCTCCAAGTACGGGACCACCCCCGGAACGTTTATATGCGACGGTCGACAGTGTATCTTCGACAATGGGTGGAAAGTTGAAACGGCTCGGTTGGCGGACATGTCCAGTCTTTGTGAGTGACTCGACAACACTATCACTGGCCCTAGCAACTACCAGAAAGTAGCGGTGCAAACAGTGGCTTTCCTAGAGGGTCACAAGGATTCCCATACATTGTTTCAATTTGTGGCTCCAAACCCTTGCTGACTAGGACGCCTAAACAAGCACTGTCCAGATATCGCGTTATCGAGTGACAGGTATGAGGTAAGCAGGGTATAGACCGGAACATGATGACCTATGTTTCCACGACAACGATAACGATTTTTGCTCACATTGTGGAGGACGACTGGTTGAGAATAGAGGCTGAGCACCAGTACGCGAGCACACTTATGTTGCAGCGGAAGTTTACAGAGGCACTACATCATCAACAGAAAGTCGTGGAAGCGGCAGAAGACAAATTCAAGGACCAAATTGTAAGCGGAACAATCGCGCTCATTTCAACAAACGACGCTACCTGCCAAAGTTTTTTGCCAGTTTCAAAAGCTACCTGCGGATCCCAACCAGATTTTTTCGATGTTTTTTTGGCTATCCAGTGAGGTGCCATAGGGGGAAGGTGAGGCCCCATGCAACCCCATGCAAGGCAGTGTTGAC